CGTACAATACGCAGGTCCACCGGTCGACGGAGACCACTCCGTTCGACCTGGTGTTAACGCGGCCACCGTCCGGTTTAATCCTCCCTGGTACTGTGCCGCAGGACGCGGGGACCCATCGAGAGGACCCGCGGACCCCGGTGCAATACAAGCGAGCTACGCTGCGAAAGCTTCGCGACGCTCTCGGCCGCGCTCCGACGAAATTAACTGCATTGCAAAAGCGGTACAAAGACGATTTTGACAAGAAGGTCCGCTTCCGTCCGGTCGTTGTGGCGGGCGATTTTGTCTACGTTGATCGCCCGCCCGGCCCGTTGACAAGCGTCGAGCGACGCACGCGTGCGCAAGGTACGACCGGAACGGACGAGCTCTCTGTCAAACTTCTACCAAGGACAGAGGGGCCGTATCGCGTGCGCTCCGCTACGGACACCATGGTCCTCATCGAGCAGGACGGCGTGGAAAATCGCGTGAGCATCGACCGCGTTACGAAGATGCCGCGCGGGCCGGGGGATACTGTCACCCCGGCCACATCGACCGAATCGGACGCAGAAGTCGCAACGCCAAGAGCGGAGTACGTCGTTGACCGCATTGTCGGACACCGTACTACGCGCGGCGGGATCGACTACAAGGTCCGGTGGTATGGATATACCGCTTCGGACGACACCTACGAGCCCGCAGATGGGCTTCCGCAGCCGTTTATCGACCGGTATTGGCGCTCGCGCCAACAAGGATCAAGCGTGCATGCGTAGCGCAAGTTTCGGCCGCTCTCGGTCGCACCGCTCAGACTCTCGCTCGCGCAAAAGCCTCTGGGGAAAACAAGCCGCGCACGTGCTATGCAGCCCCGGCAGCCAGCCGCGTGTGACTGCGCACCTCGAGGCAGTCCGTACCAGATGGATCGCGCGCAAATGGACGCAGATTCTTCCAAAATTGGCCAACCCCCCGGGAGGGTGGTCCACAATGGGAAATTCCCTGAAGCGCCCACGCGGATAGCTAGCAGCCACGCCTGACCGCACCGTTCGGATGATCACACTCGCACGCGCCTATGAAAATGGAGAGCTATCCCGGGAACCGGTTCTTTGGATTGAGAGGTATCGCGTTCGCCGGCTTTTTAATTTAGTCGCGATTTGGGCTACGTTTTTCCCTCCCACGCTGCGGGAAAAAATCGTAGTCCATTTCTGACAACAGCATCGCACTCCTGGGAACATTCCGCGTCTGGGAGTGTCAACTCGAAAAAACCGCATTCGGATGAGTTTGGAAACCAAATTGGTTTCCTCTCGTTTCTTTCCGTTTCTTCTCGTTTCTTTCAGTTTCTAATTCGGGCTCGTGAAAAAAGGGCGCTCCGTACGGTTTGTGGGTCGGTGTTGACCCAATAGAGGTCGCTACCGCAAGGGACACACGCGAAACTACCATTTGGTGACATGCTTGGGCGGCCGCTCCGCTCGCGCTGCTCTTAGGATGGAAAAGAAGGGTGGATTTACGAAAATTGGCCAGCCCTCCGGGGTAGGAGTGCGAAGACGGGGATTCTCATCCCAAACCGACCGTACGGAACTTGCGCGCGCTGTCGTCCAAGCGCGCTGGTGCGCCGGGGCGGTGAAGAACCGCCCGGGCGACAGTGTCGGCCCACGTCCAGCCCGACGGGGGGGTGGCGGCGAGGACTTTGGGTCGCGCACTGTACGCCGTGGGCACGCGCACCGCATCGGACGAATTAACCCGCGCGAACGCGGGCTCGGCCAACTCGGTGGCCCGCGGAGCCTCTCCACGTTTGCTCCGCCACGCGTGTACCGCATGGGCCGATCGGCTCGACGCCGGAGCCCGACCAGGGCTCGACGGCGGACCGTATGGGCCCGCGGCGCTGACTTCGTCGTGACCGTCTGTTCTCGGTCTCCGGAGGAGGTACTGTACGGAAAAGTCGTCGCGGGTGGAGGAGTTGGGAATTTCGGGGGAGTGTTAGAAGGGAGTCAGGGTTTCGGAGCGTCTCGCAGGAGGGAAATTGGACGACGCGCTTACCGATTCGGACGGGACAGCTGGCGAATCGACCGCCAGCTCGGAGTCGAGGCGAGAGAAAAGCCCGCCCGCACGCACGCGCTTCGGTCTTCGCATCGCGCGCGGAGGAAAACAGAGAAACCGGAACGGAATGGCGTGGTCGGATGGGTGGTCGCTACGGGGACGTAGCGAAAGCTAAGGAAGGGGGTCTGTACTATAACGACGGACGCGCGCGCGGGGAGATTATTAACAGTGCGGCCGTGCACGGTGGACACGTGGGCGGGTGTGCCCACGTGTAGGGAGCGCGCGCGTGCCGAGCGGTCGTAATCTGGCGTACGTGTACAGTAGTGCACGTGTCGGCCAAGCGGTAGTCTACCAGTATGACGCGTGTACGCTAGCACACGTGGCATCCGTGCGGTAGTCTGTAAGCAGCGCGTGTGTACAGTAGTACACACGTGTAGCTGCAGCGCCCGCGCGGTAATTAGGAATTGAGGCGCTAGTTTTTTAATTTTGTACAGTACCCGGCACGCACTAGGCGGCAGGTACTGTAATACTGTCCTGGGACAGGTGTCCGAGGCGTCCCTCTGAGGGGTTAAGACCTGACACTCGTCCCTACCGGTAAACTGGGGCAAGCTCGCCCCCGTCCCTTTCGCGCCTATATACGTCCGTTTCGGTTGTCTATCGCGCGCGCTGGCTTCTAACCCGTTACCGGTCGCTCTCGTTCACGCACCACGGGGCGACTGCGCGTAACCGGCCAGTGAGCCACTCCCTTTTCGCGAGCTCGTCCGATCGGTTCAATTAGCGCGTCGCGTCCACGCCGCGTGCTCCCTCGCTCAAGCCTCCGCCTCTCACCCAACCCAGGGCGGAGAGGTTTTATCCCACAGCTTATACAAGATCGTAGGGAGCGGGATCACTGGTTGGCGTGAGGATGAGATTGGCGATTTCGGGGGGTATGGACGTAATTAATTTTCCAAGAAGGTAGTTCTTGTTCTTGTCGAATGTGGTCAGTTCGGTTTGGTCTTGCGGGGGTGGGGGGTTGCCAGTGATGTGTTCGTTGGCTCCAATGGTGTGTGCTGCTGCGCGGGTGGCCACCATCCAGGGGCCATATTTGGTGGGATCTAGTCTTGGGATGTCTGGTCGTTTTTCCATTGTGTTGGTGTGGTGCTGTGTGTGAGTGTCTTGTGTCGGGTTTGTGGGTTGTGCCGGCGGGGGTGTGTACGTGAGGTGATGGTTATGGTTTAGCCTGGGGCTCCTCCGCAGGGGGAGGGATCAGTTTGTTCTTGTCGTTGTGGGGATTGTTGTTGTTGATGTAGAGCGGTGGGGATGTCGTGTTATGCAGGGTAGCGAAGGGTGCCCATAACCTGTGTGAACTGGAGACCGATGACTCCTCGTTTACTCGTCGTCGCTCGTGGGTTAAGTCTGTCCTGTATAGGACAGGCTGTCCTGTGCGGTCAGAAAGAGCCATCACCGCTAGGGCCTTAGTAAAGACAGAGACATCGTTCCTTGCACCATAAGAACCTTATTCGGTGAATATGCATCTACTTCAGTATTGCTACCCTTGATTCAGCAGAACTGGACGACGACGCCTAAAAAATAAACGCAACTTTGACAGTCGGGTTGTTTAACCGCAGGTGTTTTCCGGGGTCAAAAGGCGATGAGGTACATTGATAAGCCGGTTTCTTCCCACAGACCGACCAAGTCAAAAACTGATTTACATCGAGCTCGTTGAGCAAATTGAGCGAAGCACGGTAAGGGGCGGCATGGAACTTTTGTATGCAACGATCTCGGGGGGAAAGAGCGGTAGCACCTGCTTGTACTAATCGGCTTACCTTGTTTCCGAACCCCTGCTATTCCCTCTGCGCCTTCCCCTTCTCCTGCATTCGCAGGTGAACGATACGTTTCCGTCAGCAGCTTTCCTCGCTCGACACTTCGAGGCACCCACTATATCCCGTCGCCCTCTCTGACGTCCTGTGACAACCTCCGAACTGTCGGTATGTCAATTGATGATGATGATCCGATACCGGTTTATGGAGGCCGGCGGCGTCGGCCTTTAAATCCCAAAGCACAACCCGCCGGGTCTACAGTAGCTAACAGTCTGCCCTAGTGTCTAGACGACAAGCAATTTGACCTCATATGAGGTCAGTCATGGCCTCATATGAGGCCAGCTTTTTTTTTGCAAAAATATATAAATTAAATCGAAACTTTAAAACATTCAGTTTGGACACCATTTCTTTAACGTATACGCGCTCGGCAATAACATCTTGCAAAACATTGGGATGGCGGTTGTCAATGCACAGAGAGACTAAGAATCTAATGAACTATCAATGATGAGTTGACTTTTTAAACAGGCGTTTTGGTTTCGAAGATATCAACATAAAACGTTTTGAGGTTGGTCAAAAAAGGCTCCTTTTTGGGCATTTTAAAAATGGCTGGAGAAGACGTGCAGATCTCACCAAACTCCACCCTTCCACAACGCAGAAGTCAACTGCCGTGTCGAGAGTATCTTTTTTCCATCTTGTTGAGCTAGCACAAGTCGAGAAAAATAAGTTGAAAAGTGACCTCATATGAGGTCATTTGTCACCTAGACACTAGAGAGGCTTAATCATAAACCGAATACGGATATGCTACAGTACTGACAAAACGGCCGAAACCGCGACAGCGGTTACACGTCCTCTATGACGATCAGTAGCATCCAGGTATGAAATATCTTTCACAGCTGTTTGTGGCAACTCCACTTCTACCAAATTGTTCGTCATTAGCTCCACCGTCCTTCCGGCTAAAACAGCCCTCAACAACTTTCCATTTTTGCATTCGATCCTGTAATTCAGTTTTCGATGTCGTTCTCTTTCGCCTGACGGAACTGGCCCCAAAACCATAACTACCTCTGACCCAACTTCCACTAACACTTCGAGAGCATCGACAATGGTACCCTGTTTATTTGGTCTAAAACGTTTGCTTTGTCGTACCCTGCTTTCCACGTAAGTTTTATCAAAGAGCAGTAGCATCTGCTAGTACAAATCGGCTTACCTTGTTTCCTCAGCGGGGTTTCCGTTTCTGGGGTCCCTTCTGTCCCTTCTGCTCAATCTCCTGCATTCGCAAGTGACCGTTAGTTCCCTGTCAGCTGCTCTCCTCACTCGACACTTCGTGACACCCACTGTATCCGGTTCTTTTACCCGTCCTCTCTGACGATCAGTACCATCCAGGTATGACTCATCTTTCACAGTTCGTAGTGGCAACTCCACTTCTACCCAATTGTTCATCATTAGCTCCACCTTCTTTCTAGTTACAGTCACCCTCGACAACTTTCCATTTTTCCATTTGCATTCGACCCTGTACTTCCGTCCCCTAAGCTTTGCTATTAAGGCTGGCGGAAGTGGAACTAAAACACTACTTATCTTTTTCCCAATTTTTAGAAGCACTTCTAAAGACGCGGTAATGTTACCCTGTTTGTTTGGTTGAAACCGTTTGCTTTGTCGTACCCTGCGTTCCACGTACGCCATAGAGGACGTCAATTCCTCCGCTGTCCCGGATGTCAAGTCATCTCCTATTCCATTCAGCCCCTCAATGTACATTCGGAGACCGGATATTCTCACCTGCGGCTGCATCGCATTTGCCCTTACCTCATCCGTTGTACTCTTATTGCACTCCTCTCCGGTGCAATCGGAAGTCGCTAATCTTCTCCTCGCAATTCTTGTTTCTTTCTCCACTCTCTCAGGCTTGCACTCTGCGAGAGTTTTGAATACGACATGTACCAGGCGGAACCGTTGCACGTTTCCGTTTGAGTCCGTGAAGACGTCACACCTTTGCCTCCATAGTTCAGGTTCGAGCTGTAAAAGGGAAGTGCAAAGCGCTGTATCTCGACGCGTGAATCTGATTCCTTCGAGATCTCGGGCTTCAGCACATAGGCAAGCACCAATAGTTTGAATGTCATCTAAGACGCAGGGTAAGTTTGAGAGTTGTATTTGTCCGTCCCGAAACTCATTGTGTCTCAGTAAGGTCTTAGGCTCAACTTCTTCTGCTGCGGCATGATTGTCCTGGCTCGGGCGTCGTAGAAAGGTTAACGGCCCACTCTCAAACATGCCCTGGATATCGAAGCGCCATGCCTGGGTGTGGAATGCATATGCAAGGACGACGAGAGCTGAAGCAAACCTCATCTTTTTTCCGGTATGGAGAAGGGTACCTCGTACCCCTTGCTTGGCCTAGTCCAGAATGAGACATACCGTGATCGGCAGGCACGGGGCGCGTTAAGTATTGAATAGTCTTCAGCGCTTCATCATTGCACCGTGTTGGGTGAGGTTAGTAGGGCTATGTGTTTGGAGCTGGTTCTCGCAGTCTGGTCTCTCGAGACTTGTGTCTCGGAAGAGCGTGGGTGCTCATACTGGGTAGCAAACACTAGATAGGAAGTAGAGAACAGTTGGACGGAGTAGTATGTGTGGTCGCAAGTTGATGTGTAGGGAGACCGCGACCGTATGGCCACGAACATCTGGCCATGACAATGAACGGGCATTGTCTTCGATGAAAAGCTGGGAAACTCATGTTGGTAACCGTAGCCGTTGGACATGCAGATGGATACATGCGTTGGTCGCGGTGCTAAGCGGCACTTAAAGGGAGATGCACTCGCTCCATCTCGCGAACGCGTCGAAAAACGAGACGCAAAAAAAGGACAGTCGCGATCTCTTTCCTCGCAGGACAAGGAGTTTGGTCCAAACTTCGCGTTACTAGTCTCCTTAGCCCTCCCTACAAAATGGTCCTCGCGCGTGCGGAAGGCGCTAAATGCCCGGTATGTACAATAGTCGCAATAATTATACGCTACCTAAGGTATGTCCTACATATGAGCCCGCAAAGTGCAATACCGCCACCAGCACACGTCCAGCCACCACTTATATCCCGAACACAGCGATGCAGGTCGCCGCATTCCCAACGGCAGGATACAGCAGCTGAGAAAAGAGATTGTGCGATCAAGCCGAGGAGCAGATACGCTTCGCCCCGTGAAGGTACAGTACGGGTTTCCATAGAACCACTGTGGTGCAAGATCGATGACTCCGTTTACTGATGCCTATTGCCTGTCTACCTTATAAGGGGAGGATAGGGATTTGTGTGACGGCGGCGAGAGAGGTGATCTAGTTGTGCTGTCATGCGTGTGCTTTGTGTGCACGTATGGCTCTCATGACAACCACCACATGAAATTTGCTTTGGTTGTACACCCGAACATGACCTCAACTCGTGTCCCGTGTCCTCTCTTATAGTTCCACTGCATTAATCAGATGCCGGTGGTAAACCTGAACAGAGGCCCTCGCGGAATCCGTGGGTAGACACAATCACCCTGCGCCACACACTGTCCAACGTTTCCAAAGCCTGTAGCCTGGTGGTGTAGCAGAGAGTGTCCTGGCTGCAACCTAAAGCAGAGCAGCCCATTTGTGAATTGTCGAGCTTTCTCTCCAGGACCTTCAATGAAGATTCTGGTGTCGGCATCATGATTATATGGAAGGCTTGAGACAATCTCCAAAGGCGGCATGGACAGTAGACGAACAAGTCAACAAGGTCACTTCGCGCCTACGCGCCGACCACCTGAAACAACTGTGGTGTACCCGCCTGCATAATCATGAAATACAACGGCAGCTGTGCATGGAGGTATGCTCTGCGTTTAAGTTTTTCCAACCCCCCCCCCCCCCCCCCCCCCCCCCCCGCCCACAATGAATGCGTTTCGCACTGACGATTTCTCTCCCCATGCGGTCTCTCACTGCACCAGACGCTAATGCCACATCCCCGGCTGGGCGACGCGCTAGCTCATGTGGTGCGAGATCTCGAGACCGGCGGCATGTTGATAACCTCGGAAAGTTATCATCAAAACGTCGCAGCACGTACAGTATGTAACTCCATCGTAAACGCCCCCATCACGGTCCCCCGCCCCATGCCGATGTACACTTTCCCTCAAGCGCGCCCCCCTTTTTCACATCCTCCGCCAGGGCCACCACCCGAAAAACGCGCCCTGGGCGACGACAGCCACAGCGACAGCGTCACGCCGACAACAGTATACGCGGTCTCCCTGGCGGCACCCGACGCGACGGCGCGTCAGCGTAGTGCTGCGGGCGGTGCGGCGACGGCAGCAGGGCGGGCGGGGCCGGGTGCAGGGCGAGGCGCAGCAGGGAGAGGTCGGCGGCCCGGTGGAGGGGGACGGCCGCGACGGTGGCGCGCGGACGTGGGTGGCGTTCGGACCGGACAGGATGGCGGCCCAGCGGGCCGGGGCCGGGCGGCAGTGGGCCGCGGAGAGCAGCCAGCTCGCGGACAGACGGACGACGGAGCAGCGGAAGACGGGGGCCGAGGGGAGCGAGACGTCCCACAGGGCGACGAGGAAGGGCAGGGCGGAGGGTTGGCCGTTCAGCACGCGCAGGGCGGGGAGAGGCAGCGGGAGCGCGGCATGTGTGGCGGGAAGCAGGGCCAAGACGAGGACAACAAATTGCAGCGAGGTTTACACACCGTTCGCTGACATGTTGCATTTAAGAACTGATTCCTCTACTACAGTGTAATTTAGTAACCGTATGCTACATTATGTGTAGACTTGTTTATGAAACCTGTACAACCAAGTTAGCAAGGGCGGCCGCTGCGGCGGCGCACACGCCGCGTATCATGTCGGGATGACGGCACTTGGCCGTATCCTATTGGTCGCCTCTGGAGCGCCGCCGGCGATCGCGCAAAAGGAAAAGGCATGCACCGGAGCGTGCTGCCATCGTCGGCCATGCCTCTCTCTTTCCCCACCCACCACTCCCTTTGAAGGTTTTGACATTCAACTGCCTCTCTCTCTGCCAGGGGAGCTAATTTGTTCCGTTATATTTTGGAGTTCCACAGGTGTGGAACTCCCCCCTTGTGCCCGCCCCCCAATCCCAGATCAAATAATAATAATAATACATCGGACCCGGCCAATGGCCTCACCAATACGATAGGTTCCTCGCCGAGGGAGGCCTCAAGCCATGGTCCATTTATTTGTAGACACTCGTTCGGTAAGGTTTGGGGGGCGTACAGTAAACATTCTGTTTCATGTACCAAAAACCATATTCGGTTTTTGGACATAAATCGGTTTCTATAATTTTCATAACCTAAACGGGTTATGCATACATAGTAACCGTTCCCGACCTAATTACCAATGTCTCCTTAATTGCCAATGTAAATTTTCGTGAAAATTTCGGTGTGTAGTACCTCCTATCGACGCTTTCGCGGTAAATTTAGTTTCACGAAGTGCATGTACAGTGGTCCCTCTCTATCTGGATCCTCGGTAGGTGAATATCCTCGATATGTGCATGCCACTGCTTGGAACGAGCTCCGGAGAGTTGATTGCAGGTCACATATGAGGTTTCCGGCATGTCACAGTGCTGCTGACCGTCGTCAATTGGCTTCTCTCGCACCGGTCAGGCGTTTGCAGGAGGAATGTCTAGCACAGAGTAGAGGTGAGAGACGCTTGAGGACTCGTCTCCGATTTGAAAAGGGAGCAGCACCTCAATGAGATACTGTAGACATGCTCATGTACTGCTTTGGTTGAGAATGCCGGGCCACGGCGCGTAATGTTATGATAACCAGTAATTGGCAGTTATGTACTTCTCGTAAAATGACTGCGTTTTTGAAGGTTGTTGAATGGAAGCGTGTCTTGCCGCTGATGGTTGAGTTGGAAAGCAGTGGCCTAAACTATGCGAGTTGCGGTGTTTGGATGGTAGATGGCTTTTGAATGGCTTCGAATGAGCAAGTTCAGCAGTTTTTTCAATTAAAAAGGTCGATTAAGTGCTGAGGTAACGGACATTTTGGCAATTAGGTCGGGAACGGTTACTGTACCACCTCTTCTACAGTTCGCATGATTCTGCAGGCGGGTACACTGCGGTTATTTCAGGTGGTCGGCGTGTAGGCGCGAAGTCATCCTGTTGACTTGTTCGTCTACTGTCCATGCCGCCGTTCGAGATTGTCTCAAGCCTTCCACATGATCATGACCCCGAAATCAGAATCTTGATTGCAGGTCCAGGAGAGAAAGCTCGACAATTCACAAATGGACCGCTCTGCTTTTGGTTATAGCCAGGTCGCAGGCTTTGGAAACATTGGACAGTGTGTGGGGCAGGGTGATTGTGTCTGCCCACGGATGCCGCGAGGGCCTCCGTTCAAGTTACAGTTCCACTGCGTTCATCAGATGCCACCGGCAGATGCCACCAGCATCTGATGAATGCAGTGCAACTGTTAAAGAAGACATGAATTGAGGTCACGTTAGAGTGTACAACAGAGCAAATTCATGTAATGGTTCTATGAAAACCCGTACTGAACCTTCTCGGTGCGAAGCGTATCCGCTCCTGGCTAGGGAGCACAATCTCCTTTTTCTGTTGCTGTATCCTGCCGCTGGGATGCGACGACCTGCATCGCTGCGTTCGGCAGAAGAGCGGTGACTGGACGTGTAGAGGTGACGGTATTGCACTTTGCCGGCTCATATGTAGGACAGAGGTAGAGTATAGTTATTGCGAATATTGCATATACCGGGCAGCATAAACCGAGGAGTAAAGCGGACGCCACCAACACCCTTGCCCGACATACACTATCTAGCGCCTTACACACGCGCCAAGACCATTTCCTGAAAGAGCGAAGGGCACTATTAACGCGAGGTTTGGACCAAACTCCTTGTCCTGCGAGGAAAGAGATCGCGACTGTCCTTTCTTTGCGTCTCGTTTTTCGACGCGTTCGCGAGATGGAGCGAGTGCATGTCTCTTTAACTGCCGCTTTGCCTCCCGACCAACGCATGTATCCATCTGCACGTCTAACGGTTACGGTTACAAGCATGTGTTTCCTAGCCATTCGTCGAAGACAATGGCCTTTCATTGTCATGGCCGGATGTTCATGGTCATAGTGTCGCGGTCTTCCTACACATCAACTTGCGACCACACATGCTACCCCGTCCAACTGTTCTCTACTTCCTATGTAGTGTTTCCACCCAGTATGAGCACCCACGCTTTTCCGCGACACAAGTCTCGAGAGACCAGACTGCCAGAACCAGTTCGAAACAAATGGCCCTACTTATGGGAAGGAGAAGGGCATATGTGGAATAGGCACAAGAAGTTAGAATGAGAAAGGAAGACTGAAAGGTTGAAGAGTAGTGTGTTGTGTGTTCATACTGTTGAAAGCTATCCGCAACCATCCCTACTTATATTGCTACTGCAGAGCTACTGCATTCCTAATGTTTCAGCTAGGTATCTCCCAAAAACGATGCCCACTCAAATGATACTGTATTTGGCGCATATGCCACATATCTGATATCAGCCCTGAATTGTCATATTTCCATCTCTATAATTGCAAGTCTGATTATCCATATCGATTTCCTTTTGTGGATTCCATGCGAGCGGTGCAACACTGCCTCCCTTTTTGCAGACGGAGACAGTTTTATAACGCCTCCCCTTGTCACCGATGCAATACTGTTTTCGGCTGCTTCCTTACATTTGAAGACCGAACGCCTTGATGAACTGTTCATGCTTTGTCGGACCCAAGGCCTTAGTGAGACCGTCAGCAGGCATCCTCCCTGATTCCATATATTGTATCTTCACGATACTTTCGGCGATGTTCTGACGAACAAAGTGGTGGCGCACATCAATATGCTTAGAACGTTCATGAAACTTTGGGTTGCTGGCCAGCGCTATGCAACCCTGGTTATCTTCCCAAATAACAGATGCGTTTTTCTGCGGAAAGCCAAGCTCTTTAAGAAGGAGTCGAAGCCAAATACACTCCTTAACTGCAGATGACAGTGCCATATACTCGGCCTCCACCGTTGATAATGCAACTGTGGGCTGCTTTTTGGTTTGCCAACTCACTGTGGAACCGTTCACCTGAAACATGTAGCCGGTTGTTGAGCGTCTGTCGCTCTTTTCCGAAGCCCAGTCCGAATCGCAGAACCCAACGAGCCTAATTTCATTTTTCTCATGAGGTGAGGTAGTGCCACCAAGAACCAGAATAGTTTCCGTGGTCCCTCTCAAATACCGTAGCAATTGCTTGACTGCGGACCAATGGGAGTGGTCAGGGTTAGACATGAAACGGCTCAGGACGCTTACTGCATGCGAAATGTCGCCTCTAGTCCCAAGCATCGCGTACATTACGGATCCCAAAAGTTGTTGATATCTCGCGGTCAGTGCAGCATCGAAGTTTCCATCGTTTTGTTTCGTGAGCGAGGTGCTTTGGGTCAGAGGTGTAGCCATTGGTTTAGATTCAACCATCTCAAACTTTTCCAAAATGTGTTGGACATAGTGCGACTGCGAAATAGTAATTGTTCGTTGCTCTCTATTTCGACTGATATTCAATCCCAAACAGTGTCCGATTTCTCCCATGTCTTCCATCTCAAATTCCCGAGACAACTGGTTCTTAATCTGGATTATCATATCGAGGTCCTGTGCCATTATAACAAGGTCATCAACGTAGACCAAAATAAAAGCTCCGCAAGTACCATTGTTCATGACGAAAATCCCGTGGTCTGACTCCAGTGACTTAAAACCGATAGTCACAAGGAAATTGGAGAGCTTTTCGTACCATGCGCGAGGGGCCTGCTTGAGTCCGTAAATTGCCTTTAACAATTTACATACCAACGCCGGGTTGCTGCTTTCATAGCCCGGTGGTTGCTGCATATAAACTTCCTCCTGCAATTTGCCATTGAGGA